GGGCTCCCCCGGTCCCGCGGGACCGTCCCGGTCCCGCGGGGCGCTGCGCACGGGCCGAGCGGCCGCGACCTCGCTCGTCACGAGCCGGCGGGTCCTGGCGCGGACCCTACATGAGAAATCGGATTAATCTTTACCCCCCAAAACCCAAAGCATACGCGAGCCCTAAAGAGATCCTAAACCCCCTTCAAAACCTGCATGTTGGCTAAACCTCACCCGTCACCATTCTGTGCATATTAATCACAGTGCGAGGCTTGCTGCAGTCCTCAGCCACCGAAGCAGTCTTAAAATGCTGCAAGGATTTAGTATTTTAGAGTATTGAGATGCACTTGGGAAGAAAGTCTCCGTTTCCAGCTAGAGGTCTCTGTGCCAAATGTATGTTAGTCAAGACGTTCACAGTTTGAAGTGAAGCACGTTAACAAATCTGCCAGGAAAAGCAGATATTGGCTGTACGTTTGGAAACAAATTCTGGGCACCTTTCTGTTTTCTATTTGAAAATACAGAAGCAGGAAATTTCACAAATTTGTCTTCTAAAGTTGCAAATATGTCTTCTATGGACGTATTAGATTAATACCATTTATATCAAGCTATTTTAATAAGTCTTCTAATTTAAGAAAAAAACTACCTTTCCTGTTGTGTTCTCCTCCGTACAGGTTAAAATGGCATCCCTAGAAATTGCTCTTCAGGCCCCATATGAAGTAATGGGAGCAGATTTTGCTCAGTAGTTTAGAAGGTAGAGATGGAAACTGGTGTTGCTGGAGTAATATTGATACTTAGTGCCTGTGTTTGCACACGCGTGTGCGCACACACGCGCCCAGCCGAGCAGAGCATGTGGGAACGTGATGGAGGGGCAGGGGGACCAGATCTGCCACTGCAGATAGTGCGAGTAAGTGCCCAGAGCAGCGTTCAGCGGTGTGTCACAAAACCTCTATTTCCACTGCTACCCCTTGTGCTGAAATGGGACTGAACTCCCCATGAAACACTGTTGGCCTGTTTTGTGACTGTCTTCTGCTTCTATCCCTTTTAATTTCAGCAAACAACGTACGTGCTCAGATCTAGGAGACCCTAAAGCCTTTGCCAGGCTTCAAATCCCTATTGCCTGTCTTCCAGGAAATAAATTCATAATAATTAATGAAAATTTAAACAAAATCTATGGTATGCAAAAGCCCTATCCCTCTCCTCCTGCCCCAAAATACATCTCCTCAAACTCCAAATATTATTAGTCCAACACTATTACAGGGATTTTTATAATCTTAATCTCTCTTCTCACTTTTTTGCTGACTAGCATTTGTCATGATGGATTGCATCTAATTTTCAGGAAGACCCAAGGAGAAAAGCAGTCATACTATCTTCCTCCAGTGGATTTTTCCTGTTACATAAATACGTAGCTTAGCAGAGCACAGGAACACAGCTCAATCCTGTGCATAACGGGGCTTCTTAAAACTTCATTTCAATAGGATAGGAAGCTTTGCAAATTATTTGATATTTTCACTGTAAGACCTCTCTTTTCATCTCTGTGTTTAGAAATAAAAATGCACAAATGTGGAAATGGAAAAGCTCAGGCCTTCACAGAGCTCAGAAGTCCATACTGCTCCTGCAGGCAATGGAGCTCTGCCCAGGAACCACCTGCAGCCCTGAACCTTTCATCCTGAAAGTTATTTTAGGCTGTTGTTTCCACTGAGAATCAAATCATAAATCCTTGAAATTAGACACATTATTAGACAGCAAAAAAGATACAATTACTGTGCTGTTTATCTATGTATATGTTCCAACTATTTATATGTTCCAGTATATTTATTTATTCAACAACCAGGCAACAAATTACACAGTTCTTCAGTTACCAGGCAAAGGCGCAGCATGCCCATGAACAGGAATTTCTGTGACTCGTCTGGCTACCGTTCCATGGCATTCATCTCTACCAGATCCCTAGGAATGCCTGTGGAAAAGGAGGTCCTCCCTTCAGCGGGTTCTGTTTTGGGAGCAGAAATGAGGTATGGAAAGGGGAGATTAAACCCCTGGGTGTCCAAAGCGACCCGAGTTCCACGAGGAAGACTTAATCGAGGAAGGCTCCAACTGCTCTGCCTGCTCAGACAGAAGTACCAACCTTTCCCAAGACCCTGCAGGAAGAGCAGATCCCAGCTTTGCCAGCAGAGCTGAAGAATATGTAGGCATTCCTCGTGTGCATAAAGAGAAGTGTTCCTTGTGTGACTCACCAGGGACCATGGAGAACAACCAAAATGCTATGATTAGCCCTAGCCCAAATCCTGCAACGTCTTTGCGTTAGCAAGCGATGCCCTCTACCTAGAAGCTGAGCAGCTTGAACTGAGAAACAACGGGAGGAAAGCCCTAGAGTGGATTTATTTAGATGTAAAAGAAAGAGCCTGTGCACCAGAAGAGTTCTCTCTTGCACCAGAAACCTCACTGGAATAAAGGAACTCAGTAGAAGCAAAATTATGGCCAGGTTTCTGATCATAATAGTCATGATTAATTTGGCAGCAGAGGTTGAGGCTAGAGAGCTAAGCAGCTTGAAGAAGCTTCCTATCCTATTCAAATGCAGAGTTTTGTCTGTGTAAACTGAGCAGAACTGAGCTTGCTAATGTCATCTGTTTTTTAACTTAAGTGTCCTTTGCAATAAGATTGTGTGATTGTTCTCCTTGAATAGTCTTAAAATTAGATGTGACTCATCATGAAGTAATCTAATCAGGAAAAAAAAAAGCAGAAGTAATCAGCAATGAAAAATGAATAGCAACTCCAGCCCAGGCATTATTTTTTTCTGCATCAAGGTGAATGGTAATGAACGTCCTTGGTGAGCAAAGCCAGCAGTGAGGAGCCTGTGACTCAGCACGTGGGCTCTGCGCCAGCAGCTGAGGCAGCGGGAGCCCCGCTCGCCGGAGAGCGCCAGGTCGGCCTGGGGGCTCGGGCTGCACGAGGAACAGACGGGGCACAAATGACAGTGACGAGCTGGACTGCGGCCCCTGGCTGCCACTGCTGTGTGCCGGGAGCCTCGCTCACCCGGCCTCCGATCGCTCCCTCTGCAACAGGGATGCCACAAAAAGGAGCACATGAGACCAGGGTTGCTACTGGCGTTGTCAAGATATATACACAAGCACAGCAGGATCCACCTCCTGATTTCTTCCTCTTAGACTTGGAACCTTAAAAACAATCTACGGAAGTGATCAGTTACTCATTTTACCTTCCCATTTCTAAATGCGTTCTTTTTTCATTCGCAGAAATCTCTCTTAACAAAATGGGAAACGGATTGACTCCATGATACAGAACAGTTGTCTATTTTATGTCAGTTATAGTAATAGCAGGATTAAGAGCAATAGCTATGATTTTTTAGAACTGTGTTTTGAGTGCTTCAGTATCATGAAAATTAAGAGCAGTTATGTGGTCAAACTCCCCTGGTAGATCTGTTGTAAAGAGACTGTTGTGCTCTGCCTGCTGGAAGGAAGTCAAAAGTCTCAGCTAACCGATGAACTGACCATCCAAACTCATTAACTGCAGCCATGCACAATCCTAAGAGATTTTCTACCAAATACATTCAGTTATATATTTCAAGGAGGCAGATTTAAAAACAAATTTCCAAAAGCTGCTGTTAATAACATGGATTAAAATGAGTCATAGAAAATGAAGAGACATCTAATATAAAACAAATGTTTAAGGCCTGAGTATTTCATTGGGTAAAAGCCACAGCCCACAAGTGATTGTGAAGACTAAATCATGAAGAATTTCCTTGTTTTTGTTGTTCTTCATCACAAAAATGAAATTTACTCTTAAGTCAACTTGCTTTGATAGCAGATGACAAGAGACAATTATCAGCTTTAATCCATCAGAGGAATTAAGAAATGAATCAATTTTAATTTATATTTGTTTCCCTTGGAAAAAATAGTGACACTGTAGTTCAGGGGAGAACTACTAATGATGAAACAACAAAACAGTAATTTTTTTCCCCACCATTGAAAATTAGATTCAAATGAAATTTGAAGGGCAGCTGAATAGAAAGGGTAGATCGAATATTCTGGTAAATGGTACCACTCACCCACCATTAATCTCTGCCACCGCAAGTGATCGCCTTGGAGCAGCAGCCCTGTGGCAGTGCTTGAAACCTTCAGTCGGCAGCTTTTTGCTTTGCCTGGAGGCCCGATACGTTTTGTTATTCGTTCTAAACCAGCCCAGGGCTTGATCATCATGTAGGCTACTGAAGACTCGCTGACTCACCCACTGTACAGCCGAGTTCTTAGTTCAGCTTGGAAAATGATTTGATAAACCCCAGAGTTGTTCTCTGCGTCTTGTCTGCTCCTCGGCCTCCTCCTTGAAATGCAGAGAGCAGAACCAGGCTTGGGGCCCACGCTGGAGGCAAGCACCAGACTTTGTGCTGTGCTCTGTCCGCTCGTGATGGTGACCAGGGTTCTGTTGGCTTCCTTGTGTGCCACTGCACACGCCAGTGCCGCCTCCTGCCTTCAGGCACCTGCTAATGATGATGCCAGAATGGTCCCTGAGCTGCCAGCTGCAAGTTCAGCATCGTGTAGGCAGGTGCAGGTCACTTACCTGTAACTGCATTTCATGTCATCAGCTAAGTTGAAGCTCCCGGCCACTCTCGCCATGTACGAGGTCCCTCCGGAGTCCCTGGCCATCAGTGCAGTGTTTGGACATGTCCGTGAGCTTGTTTCTTGCAAGCTTGGAGGCTTCTTTGTTTCCAAGTCACTGATGATGTTTCTGAGTAAAGCTGGGCCCTGGGAGACCCTGTTACTAGTTTTTCTCCTATTGAGCCCTGTCCTTTGCATTCAGTCTTTTAATCGGCTTTTCAATCCATAGAGGGACCTGCCCCCTGTTTTGTGACAATCTGGTTGCTTTATGGCGTCCTGTAACGTAGCTGTTAGTGACACAGGATTCCCCAACCTGTTTGTGCTCGTATAGAACATGGGACAATCACACTTCACTCCTCCTTCAGGCTCCTCATATATTGTTAGGATCACCCTCTAATCACTGTCAGATACTTTGCCCAACGAAGGCAAATGAGGTAAATTGGGATAAAGCATTTTAACGGCAATTTGATTTTGTCACCAAACTCAAGAATGTCACTTAGTTCCACAGCTATTTACTGTTAGATCCAAAATGTTTTGAACAAAGTGTCTCTGAAGACAAATGACCGAAATCAAAGGCTGTCAAATGGAGAGAACACATAATGAACTCATTAAAAATACTAACGATCCAATGAATATCATCTGCGTAAGAGAAAATACCAAATTCAAAAGTCATTTTTAAGTTAAAAAAAAATAGGTTTAAGGATAATATATCTAGCATAAAATAGCTTATCCCTTTGGGTGTCAGGGCTGGTTATGTTCTCCCAAGAGAAACCCTTAATAATGGTGCTGCATATTCCCCTACACCCCCTCACCAGCCTGCAAACTGTGAGAGAGTTGCACTAAGGGCTGGTTGTGCTGCGAACTGAGGGGAACTGTGACATCGGTTTCAGTGAGAAGTCGTTCAGGCCTTTACTTCTCAAAGAATTATTCACAGAAAAAAAAATTGGCTTGTGTTGTTTTGGAAAAAGAAGATTGCATGGTGCTATATTGAACATATGTAAATAGTTCTCTGTTGGATGCAGGTCTAGAGGGTCACTCTGTATTTGCTACATTTGTGTGTTTTCTTTTAAACAGATTCATTAAACACCTGAAATGGATTATGGCCTGGCTACTGGATCAAATCAGGGAAAGGTGGTATACTCTGAAACGCAGAGACGAGAAGAAAGCCAAGGGGAAGAGCTGGCCTCAGCCCATGTCAGCTGTGACTTGTGCCCCGTGATGGCTGTGTCCAGGGTGCGCTGACTGCAGTGATTCACACGGACCACCGGGCTTCCAGGGGTCCTTCTGGGCTCTTCTCCTGCTGCCGGAATTCCAGACTCAGCTCAGATGTGATAAACCTTGACTCAGTCCCTTATCACCCACACGGACACGCTGCTTCACCGAGTGTTACAGGCACACACGGAAAACTACCAGCCAGCGGTTCAAAACCAGGGCTCTCAGGGGAATATATCAAGATGTGACTGCAGGGAAGGTTCTGTTCAGGGCAGAATTATAGCCAAAACTGTGCTAGCTAGACACTTTATTTATATTGCGAGTTTTGAAATAGATCAGAGAGTAAGTTTTGTAAGTGAGGTGGATTCATTACCTAACAGAAGTATCTTTACAGATTGTTTTAAGCTTGTGTTCCTATGTACAGGTATGAAAGCAGTACAATAAAGACTTACCTTTTTCACGAAAAACTAAACAGACATTTGTTAGGGTTGTTCCTTTTCCATCTGAACAGAAAATGATTTAAAGAGGCTTTCCAGAAAGTCCTTTTTACAAGTACCTGGAAATAGTTCCACACAGACTGTTGGAAAGACAGCTTAGAGGAAATCCTTCTCCATGAATAACTACTTTAAAAATCAGACCTGGACTGAAACACTAGCAATATCACACTGTGAGAAAGAGGAGAAGAAAAAAAAAAAAAGGCACTGAGGGGAGGTATTGTACTTATTTTGTCTTATTTCATTATGTTCTTTAGAAAAGGCCATTTTTCCTAATTGTGCAGTTCCAGCAGTATCAAGAACGTTTCAGGTAAAACAGAATTGAACACATTCCTCCTGCATTCTGTCCGTACCTCAGCTCTTTGCCATCTGTCTCTCCCACCTGCTCCCAGCTCACGCTTTCCGCTGCAGACAGATGGTGCCACGAGTCCCTTCAGCCTCTTCTTGACGGGCAGGACAAGGGGGTGACACTCCAACCCCCTTGTAACAAGGGGACGTGCTCAGCGGAGCCTCTTGCATTTTTCCCCTACTCTGTATTGTTGCTTTGGTAGCGCTTTCGCATGCGCAGTGCAGTGGAAATCTGCTCTGTCCTCCGCACGTTGCTCCCCAACACGGGTTTCAGCGGCTCCGGCTGTCCCCGCGCTGTAGCGGTTCTCCGTGACGCGTTCTGCCAAGCGAGACCGGGGGCCGTAACAAGCTGCCAAACACCGTGCCACCGCCTGTCACGGGCTGTGCCTGAGGAACGGCAGTCACTTGGGACACAGTGTTCTAACACAGAAGAACAGATCGAGGGAGCTAAATTCCCATTTTGGCACATATAAAAAGTTTTAGGGAGTTGTTTAGCTCATATTCACATGCCCATTTGGTACTAACACAAGAAATACTGAATTTTACCCTTGCATAATTAAACTTATTGTTCACAGCACCAGCTTACACCAGTTCTTCAGGGTCACATGTGTGAACAGGGCTCAAACTATCACCAAGTTCCAGGATCTGCTGTTTGGTGGTTATTTCCTGAAGTGGGTTCAGCGTTTTGTCCATGCCACATGGCGCACAGATCAAGCAATACAAAACCCAAACAAATAGATCACTCAGGTGACTCTGAACTTTGGTCAGGAGTTCTGCGGCTTCATACATTCTGCAAATATGGAAAATACTTAATTTAAAAATACCTGATTATCACCATAACACAGACCATAACATTTTACCCATCTCCTAAGAAGGCATTCAGTAGTTTTTAATGCTGAGAGGCATTTTTAGAACACGTATTTGGTTATAGCTGGGTTTTTGGGGAAGGGGAGAGGGGAGGGAGTTAACTCAGTCTTCTACACGCAAGGCGTTCAAAAATAGCCAGACATGAATCTGGATTAGTCTGAAAACTTGGGGTTGAAATAATGAACAGTAACATTTCCCCTGAAGCTGGCAGCACTTCTATACCCTCCAGCTCTGCAGCTGGCATTGCAAGCCCTTGCTGCCCAGAAAGGAGGCATTTTCTCCATTTCCCAACCACGGAACTGATTAGCAGGTGCCCCCGCTCACACAGGGCTTCCTTCTAACCTAGGACATGGAAGCCCTTCACATGCCATGACCCTTGAAGCCAGCGGTGCTTTCACAGTGTTTCAAAGAGAAAAAAAAGAAATTCAACAAGTACCGCATGTTACTGTAAAAGTATTTTAATACATTTTGAAAAACATATCAAAATTCCCCAACCTGCATTGCAATTTGCTGTCTGTACATGATCTCTATGAACACTCCTCTCCTACTGCAGTAGTTTGCCCAACACCATTTTGTGAAGACCAGACGAACCCTGCCTCATATTTCGCACAAACACGGCCACAGTGAGAAGCAATTGCAGATTAGGTCTGTAAAGTGGCATTGCTCTGGCTAGGCTTAGCCAGGCAGACAGTGCATAAAACAGTCCTTTTCTAGTGAAAATCACAGCCAGGCGAGTGTTTCCCGACGTGCTCCCTGTGCTCCTCACCCCTGCCCACCAGATCTGGGGTGAGCGGCGCTAGATCTGGGCGCATCGAACCCCGTCCTCGTCCCTCCTCGCTTAATGCTTCCGAGCTCTGTAAAGGGCGGCCTCATAAACCACACACAGTAGTGATCTCACTTTCAAGTACAAAACAGATCCTTGTACATTTATGTTATCACCTGCAAGTGGCAACATAAATCCCACTAAATCCCAGCCCAGGTACATAAATGAGAACACAAATGTGTTTCAGAAGTCAGAGTTTTGAGCTCTTCAAATGCACAGATATTTTAGTTGTGTACCTTGCAACCTAGAATCTTATTTATTTCCTAATAACTTACACACATATATAAGTGCATTTTTTCCACTCCTTAAAATAAAAAACACTTTCAAAGATTTCACTTTAGACAAACTGAAAAGTTTTGATGACTGTCCCTTGAAGGGTTATTGTGCAATGTATTTATAGCATTTAGATTTCTGTGATATCTTCAGAAAAATCCTTAATAGTTTTTCAATTCATTTCTCCTCTTTAGTGCTTTTTTCCCCATCCTTTTTGAAGGAACCAATAACAAGAGACTTACTTGAAAGAAAATGTCCTTCTGTCATTTAAGTCAGCACTGGGAATAAATGTGAAGAGCCATTTCTAGATTCTCAGGGATAATCTTGCTGTATCAGGCTGTGTTCTAGACTGATCACTCTTATCCTGCCCCTGTCCCTAATGCTTCAAATCAATCCAGATTTCTCAGTGAAAATTGAGCTTTTGTAGTCCCAAACCATCACAACAAGTGCAATTGCATTTACCACTGGCACCACAAACACGCAGCTTTTATCTATTACTACTCAGATGTGGCAGCTTCAGCAGCTAGCTTACACTTGGGTGAATCAAAGCAGCAGTTTTATGCTACCAACACAGGGTGACCCCTGTGCACATTTAACGGTGATCACAATATCCAGATGTTCTTTTCATTGTCGAAGCCTGATGCCAAATCATCGCTTCAATGGGAGCACAGCAGAGTCTCTGAACAGCCGTTAAAAGACTGTTCACGTTTGAAGTCTACAATTCACCCACCTCAAGAATCTCCCAGGAGCTCAAAGACGACTTTTCATTTTGCCACTGCCATAAAAACCAGCACTTTCTTTCCTGATTCATAAATCACCAAAGAAGATAAGGAGATACAGAGGGAACCTTCTGCTCTCTTTTATGTTACCTGTGAAGTGAGGAAAATTAAGAGTATTAGAAGTATGCCCAATAGCTTCATGCTCATTGACATCACTAAAATCATATATGTGTGTATGCACATATAAATATATACACACACACATATATGATGTGATTTGGGAAGAGACGACAGTGACGGGTAGATGCTGAACACTGCAGTTTTGGGAGACATGGTACAGACCCGCTGCTGCAGCCGATCCTCCGTGCTAAAGACGGCGAGTCAGCAAATCGTTCTTTGATCGTGGCACAATTATTTCTAGGATCCTTGAGACAGCAAGGAAAATCAAGGAAATAGATGCAGCTGCAAGTAGGCCAACTGCACAAAACGGAGCAGGAACACGGACCGCAGGACACCATGGTTTGCTCTGGGGCCTGGATAGGCTCCGTGACATGGGGGGACTAGAAGCTGTTGAGGATTTGTATTATCAAAGGAAAAGGACTTAGTAAAAATCAGCACCAAACTTAATTCCTGAGACGCGCAGAGCTCATCTATTAAACACGGCAAGAACACAGAGGGGTTCAGCTTGGCACAACACCAGTTAGGAGGCCACTTGCCAGCGCCGGCTGCGGCACGCGGAGCCCCGGCAGAGCCGGCTCCTGCCCCGCGGCGCCGCTGCCATCCATGATCGGAGAAGGGGCGAGCGGGGAAGGGGCCTGCGCTGAGCGCCAGGTGCCAAAGCAGCTCCTTGCTTGGCCACCTATGCCCTGGTCTTGTCCTGGGCCCAGGAAACCAGCTGGAATCAGCAGCTGCTGGAGAACCAGCAGAAAGGCAGGATCCTCATGGGGAGCAGGGAATGCTCACTCCCGCTTCGAGGGGGATGAAGTTGCCCATCCTGAACTCGCTAAGTGGGGTTTGATGAGTGGTCAATAATGCACAGAGAAAGGGAAGGAAGGGACTTTGCTTCAGGTATGATGTTGCATTGGAATGGGCTCATATTCCCACATACGGGCATGACATTCCCACTCAAATCTGTTTCTCCAGGTGAAGCAAATGCTGCTTCCAACTCTGGTGACAGAAGCCGGGTTTGGCAGAGGAGAGGAGGGAAAGCATTTCTGGAATTGGAGCTCCAGGACAAAACACGTGGGACAAGACCAAGGAAGATCTCTGACATGAGGCAGATGACGACACTTGTGGCAAAAGCTCTTCCAAGAAACCACAAGGGGGAGAAAAAGAACAATTCAGAACTCACTGCAGAAGAGTTCACTATCATGCACCATTCTTTCTAACCTGAAGCAGCAGCCTGCCTATTCCACAGGTCAGGATTCTCAGAGGAGCTCCTGGATTTTAAAGGCATCCAGACTCCTGTGATCCTGTGCCCTTCTCTGGGCCTCACATACCCCTGCAGTGTGGAGATCCTCCCTGAAATCTTCTTTGGAAGAAGCCTGTTGCCCTCTAACCAAAAAGGAGCTCTAAGCACTATGTCTGCATCTGAATGGATGAACGCAATCAAATTCACCAGAGAGGGAGCAGAACATCCCGCACAGCTGCCGTCAGCGTTCTCGAGCTTTTCGGTAGGATATTGCAAAGCCTTAGCCCAGCACTGCCTCGGGCCCTGCAGGGAGGCCTCTGAAGACAGTGACCTCTAAGCATAGGAAAGCATGAAGGTAAGCACAAAGGAGTAAAAAAGCAAAAACAGGACTAAAGACAGCAAGATTAAGATGGATCCTGAAAAATAGAGCGCAATTTATCCTCCATCCATTTTTCCCCCCCGTCATGGATCTACAGAACTGTTAATACATCAACAGATACCATCAAAACAGATTTTAATGTCTCAGGGAGGCAGAGTTTAAATTACCTTTTTGGATCAGCTGCATCTACACACTAATTCTAGAATCCAGCTGATGAAGATGCTCAAGAACTCCATAGGGAATAGTAGGATTCCACATCCTGTAAGAGCAGATCCAAAAAGGAAAAAGATTTTAAGCTTAGCTTGTTTTATAGTTTTTTTTGTAAAAGCTGCTCAAACCTTTTGAATATAGTTCTATAAAAGGATTTAAACTATGAAATAAATTAAAACATACGGAGGGTCAGGTACACCAGGAGGGTACCCTGGGAGGAGCAACAGGGAGCTCAGTGCAAACTGCCCAGAGCTGGGTAAGCGTGTGCTTCCCTGGGGCACTGGGGTTAATGCAGCTGAGGCCAGAGATGACATTTGTGATATTTCTGTGACTACTGTTGTATTTTGGTGATTTCCTTTTTGTGCCTCTTATAAGCCTGACAGATGCAGAACACAACTGTAGAACGAATTCTAACCTAATTTACAGACCTAAGATAAAACAAGCAAAATATCAGAAGACTCACAGCAAATTCTTAATACAAGGACATTTTCGTAGGCTGTCAGTCAGATGTTGGGCTCCAACATCAGTTATTTTGTTATACTGAACACTGAGGAAAAAGCAAAACAGAAACATATTTATTATTTCAGATCACATCACCTAGCAGGACCATCAAACATTTCATTCAGTGTCAGCGCAGAGGCTTAATTAGGGAGAGTGGAAGAAAGAAAATATAAATCAGCAGATTCTTGCTTCCAAAACCCCAAAGCTCAGCAGCTCCACAGGATCTGTAGTGAACTGCTTCTTAAACCTCTCTAACCACTGACTCTGTCTGGACTCCAGCATAAGCAGATTTTCTCTGCACATGAAGCTGGGAATGACGCAAAGCTTCCCAATACGGGGAGGCAGCAAGGAGACCAGGCTGCAGCACTCCCTGGGATCACAGCGGCCTTCTCCAAGGCTCTCCGCTGCTGTGGTCCACAAGAGCAGCACTGGCTGCAGCCAGCGCAGGGACACAAAACAGTGTTTCCAGGCAAACACACATCAGGCATCATCCCAATCTTTCCACAGCCTTTACATCCTAAACATTAGCCTCTTCTAAACCCAACATAATCACAAATTGGAACTTTTTTTCCTCAAATTCTGCCTTCTCCACTTTTCCTCAGCACAGATTTGATGTTTCAAGTGTGTAAGTAACTTTGCTCTCCTTTCTCATCTCACAAGGTTTCATACTTACTCTAACACTCTTAAGGATGCCATTGCAGGAAGAATTTTTGCAAGATTTTCTGCTCCAAAATCACAAATACTATTATTGTACAAGCTGCAAGAAATAAAACCAGTAGTCACAATTGAGTAATGGAAAATGTAAGCTAGTTATATATCAGAACATACATATTCAGTTGGTACATCTTAACTTCCAATTTATGCTTAACTATTTCGAGTTAATCTTTAAAACACACGTTTCATATTCTCTATATCAAATAAAGCAGAGAATCACTTTCCTTCTTCAGTTTATGCAGCTACAGCAAAAATATATCTAGATTTTTAATGAACAAGAACATCCTTGTCTACATTATATCAAATTAAAAACATGCAAGAAGATAAAGCACAAACACTTAGGGAAGGGCATTCAAAATAGGATTTCCATGTGAGCAAATTATTCCATAGTTGCATTCTACACTGTCTTAGATTTCTCTCTAGGACTTTAATGGAGTGGGAGTCCTGAAGGAGCAAGCACACACCACCACATGGCCCTGGGCTCAGCAAGCGGCAGATCTGCAGATCACAGCCTTGTGTAAACACTGTTCAGGGCACTATTGATCACTAGGTATTTTGAATAAAAGTCAACATAGTACTTGTAATATTCCTGAGATGTGCTTCTGTATGTCTACATGGGGTTATACATTTATCTCCTCCCTAATGACAGATGTGTGGAAATGCCCGGAGTGCAAAAAAGAAGTCGAGCACCAGGCTTCCTTAAGGGACATGCCTTGGCCCTGGACTTTGGGCAGAAATGAAGTTCAGGGCTTGCCTGTTGCAAAGTGTGTGCACCTTTACTCCACATTCAGTAATTTTTAACAGGAGCAGCTCGGTCTGTTGTACAAAACAACTGAACAGGATGCAACTACTTACCTAAGGGTCTTCAGTGAAGACAAGTGAGGAAGAGCTTTAGCTAGTTTCTCTGCACCCACATCTGTTATCTTATTCTGTGACAAGCTGTAGCAAATAAGATAGTTTTGTCAGTTGAGCACATTTATTCTATACCATTATAATGTGGGGGAAATTCATTTTAGGTGTTATTCTGAACAGCACATATGATGCTTAAGTACTGTATACTAAAGCCATCTTGGAGCTACCATTAACTTAAGACTTTTCCCCAGTCTAGAATTCAAAAGTGGGCTGAATTTCAAGAAACTTGAAAAGAATATTATCCTCTTGCCAAATTTTGACCTTTTCTGAAAAATTTAGAGCTATAAAAATTTGTACCTGACAGTGGAAGGATGAAAAAAAAGAGATTTCCTCTGTGTGTGTTTTTTTTTTTTTAATAGACCCCAACATCTAAACTGGCACAAGCCTAAAGTGCTCTGTGGTTCTGTGTGCTAAGCCAGACAAAGGAGACACAAGCAGTCACATTCTGAAGTACTGACTGCACAGGACTGCAAAACTAGATGTTCATGTAGGGCAGCAAGCTGCTAGGGACAGAAGGAGGGGACAGAGGGACAACAGAAGATTATTTATTGCTGCTTAAAAGTTCTGGAAAATTCAGCTCCCTGCTGCTACTGTGCAGGGAGGTCTAGGCTGTGACTGGGGCAGGCTGGCTGTCCCTCTTCTGCTCCCTCAGCACTACTAGGAGGAGCCACCTGAGCTCTCCTGCACCCTCCATTGCTACCTCATACCCTTCCTTCCATTTTCTGCACTTTGTTCTTCCCTTTCCAAGGGTTTGCTGGCTTGGCCTGGCCCTTGACCTTTTTGCCTTCATTGCTTGAAGTTTTGAGGCAGCTCTCCCTGAAAGAGGTCCTGAAGTACTTAAAAAGAACAAAGTGTATATCAAATATTTTAAGAAACTCACACAGTCTGTTCAGGTCAAATGCAAGAAGAAGGACGAACTACTGCCCTTGAAGGGAAATGAGGAATTGCTATTACACAGTCCCTAACGCTGTAGGATTAGCCCATTTCTCTGATGAGTGTAGAGGCTGAATATGCCCATAGACTAACTAGTGTACCATGCCCATGGGTTTGTTGTGTCCCTAAATGCTAAGGCACAATTCCTTAGGCTCTAGGATTAAGCTATTTCTTTTCATAATTTTCTAAAACTGTTACCCATACAACTTACTTTAATGTTTCCAGAGATGTCAGCTTGGGAAATACTTCAGATAGACTCTTTGCTCCTTCATCTCCTATGCCATTCTCACTCAGAGCTTCAAGGCTACATGACCACAGAGAAGAAATTAGTTTCCTTTCAATATTAATTTTTGTTTCATTTACTTCAGAGACTGCTCTTTATGCCTTGAGAAGCTTCCTCCCCAAAGTGGCCTCAATCAGCAAGAAACAGGTCACAAATCTCCAGCTTCTCCAAGAACCAGCACTCTGAAATGTCAACTTTCAGCCTAGGATTTTTTTGCTAGTTGAAGGCTTGACCCATTTCCTTTGATATGCAAGAGGTAGGTAGCACTTACTGCCTCACCTCACTATACACTGACAGTTACTAAAATGATTGTAAAATATCTGTGTTTCAGCTCTACTGAAATAAGATTTCATTTGCACAGAGAAACAATGCAGGTAAAATCCAGGGCATGCTTCAAATCCCTATTTAAATTGTTCCTTCACAAAACAGTAGCAGAAGTGAAGGTTTTTTTCATTCAGGTACTCCAATGGAGTTTTAGGCAGTCTCAATTAACTATTAACTAATTAATTAGTTAATTAGTCTCTTCTAATCTCACAGACCACCTGTTGTTCTATTAATTAATTTTTTTTTTCCAGTGTGTTCACCTAAACAAAAAATCCTGTTGCAAATGGAACATTTCTCAGGTGCATGAACTCCCCTGTCATCGAGGGCTGCTGAGGATCAACGTTAGCATGGTTGACCTTTACATCTACTCACTCTAAATGCTGCAGTGACGGAAACGCCGCTAGAATTCCCACAAGTTTTAGGACTCCCTGAAGGCCACACACCTGACCCAGCCTAGAAAAAAAGACAGGGAGACACAAAGCAGTTGTTTCCTGTTCCGAAACATCAGAAGTTACAAATGTGCTGTTCTCCTGCCCTGCAGCCCCCAGGTTACCCACCCGAGTAAACCTCCTCTCCCAGCAGAGCGGCGGCTGCCGCCTTCTGCGTTGAAGCCTCCAGGGAGGGTCCCGCGGGGCTGCGGTCAGGAGGACAGAACTGTCTGCACTGAGAGGTGGTCCAGGCATTTACCACATCTTTGTTTCTTCTTGCAAGACTACTCTCCTTTGTTTTAACATCCCTGTATTTCTGTTCTTTTCATGATCTCGGGCAGATAAGTGAGGCATGGCTGGGGAAAGATTATTTCAGAAGTTGCTGGATCATGATCATAATATTTTACAACCTGAGGGACAAGATCTGCCTCTACTGATAATGAGCTAAATTTCAGTAAAATCGAACAACTCTGATAGCAACATGGCTCTGCGTATCATCATGGGAACTTGAAATGATATTTTCAAGTTCAGACCATAAATTAATAATCCAGTTCAGATTGCCAAAACACAAATAAATGGGTTTTAGTTATTGTCTCTCCTTTACCTAGACTTCAATAGACTATCTTTAAATGAGTTTAATGGTTGTAGCCAATATACTTGACTCTTATCAGTCCTAAATGTAACATATATCAACAGAGAGGCATAACACTTACGCAAATTCTAGTTTCTTGAGGTTTTTGATGGCAGGAATTTCATAGCTGTTCCAATCAGATACATCTTGCACACTAAATAAATCACAATAGAATGAAATTTTGAGAATTATTTTCAAAACCAAAACAGTACTTTATCAAACTTTCACAACAAATAAACTGCTGCTACATTAACTAGGAAATTTCTGTGAAACTAGGAAACTTCAGAACAACTTCTGCTCCAGCTTTCCTTCACTGGATTGATTATTGGTATGAATACCTGTTTGATAGGAATTTTCTGTCAATCAGGAAACTTATTTTGTGTGTATTTGAATCAAAATAATCTGTGTATAAATGAATGTCACCATTCCAATTCAAGAAAAATATACCATACTTTATTCATGCATGTTTTGAATTGTAATCAATCTCTTAGCTACATCATCAGCAAGAAGGAAATGTGTGGCTTGTGGACTATATAAGACAAGCCTTTACATCTGAGTCCAAGGACGGATTTGGGTCATTTATGGTTATGAAAAAACAAAGCTTGTATTTATGGCCTAGGTACCATAGAGAAAAAAAAAGTCAGTTAGCACAAGGTATGTAACTGGAAGCAATTACAAGATAACATACCCTGAGATGAAAAAGAAACATGAGGGGAAAAAAATGACTTGTTTATTGGCAGTTTTAAGAAATATTCTGCACCCCTCCTCCCTGCCAGGATAACCACTATACCTCAGAGTAGCAGAACATGCGAGATGACACAAAAGCTTGTGGTCATTAATCACTAAATCACTCATACATCATAAGGACTTTTGATCATAAGTAAGCCTACCAACTGATGATCTTCTGCATCTCCACAAGGTCCGAAAGGTCACTGATATCATTCATCGTCTTTGCCTTAAAGGGATCAAGAATAAATTTCTCTGTTGACATTCTCAGCAGTTCATACTCTTTTGCCTGTTTTAAAGACTTCCAGAGCCTGATTGTATCTCTGAGAGAAGCCCTGCAAAGTGACAAAACATGTGAAATCAACAGATATGACTGCTGTTGCATGAAAAACATCTTCTACACACTGTGACTGATGCCACTATCTGCAAAGAAGGACCAACCTGAATGATGCCACATTCTTTAGGCCAACCAAGTCTTTTAGCCCTTGCATGTCAATTCTGCTGTTTTGCAAATCCAAGGAAAACTCTTTTCTTGACCTTTCTAAAATAGAGTACAACACATGGACATCAGGTGGTGTAAGAACAACCCCCAGAAAAGACAGCTCTGGGTTGAGTCTTAGGGCCACATGCTGCAAGAGATAGTTGTTTTGTGTTTCATAAATACAATGGAAAAGCTCCAGTAACCTTTCTGGACAGAGGTTATTTATCTGCAGCCTTCTAATGTATTTCAGGAGTGTTTTCTGCTTTTTGGCTGGTTGTTTTACATCCTTGTTCAAAAGGGAGCAGAAGTCAGGGTCATCCTGGAGGAACAGCAATCCAGCTAGAAATCGAGGCACTAACTCTAACCAGTTATAAGGTTTTTTCTTCTTGGATGGAAAAGACAGGTACTTGATTAGGCTTTTATCCTGGACCTCTTCTGCTAACATAAGGTGAAGTGCACCCAAGAAATTCTGAACGGCAAAATCGGAGAACATGCTACCGAATTCTTCCTCTCCTGGATCTGAATGCTTGGGGAATGCAAATGGCAGGACGAATCCATACTTCAGGGCAAATTCTTTAGCTTCCTTAGAAGGAAAAAGATGGCTTTCCACGGCACTTTGGTGCTTCTCTCCAAGATACCAGGCTATACGGGCTAGCGTAGCAAGATTCTCTTGATTTTGCATGGGTGTAACATCTCTTTGCATAGGTGACAGCTTTTGCTGAACAAATTTCAGGAGGAGTGCAGTAAGAGTTGAAGGAAGGTCTTTCTCTCCCACTTCAAGTGCTGTCTCGCAGAGAAAACAAACAAACTTACACATAAGAGGGTTGTAACAATGGCTGAAAAGGTACTGACAATCTCTGATTAATTTGAGTGCCTTACCACAGTAGGGTAATCCCTCAAAATATTTGGTTATGTATAATTCTCTCTGCTGAGGGGAGAATCCTACTATTTCAACAGTCTTATCCACTTTGGACACATACTGGCTCACCTTGTCTTTGGGTCTTGCTGTAAGCAGTAAAGTACAACCATTCAGTATCTTTTTTTGGATGAGGCCTGAAAGTAGCTCCCTGATACTGTACACCTCTTTGTCAGACTTGCTGTCTGAGCCATGAGGAGAATTCTCATTACAATGCAGCCCTTCAAAGCCATCAAAAACCAGAAGGACTTTAGCAGGATTATGTAGTATATACTCAAAGATCTCATTGCCTCCTTCCTGAGGTTTTACAAAAGACTCAAGAAGCAGATCCTTCAAGCTGTATCGCTTCTCAGGCATGCTTATTTGTTTGCACTCAAAGCAAAAGACAAATTCAAACAGAGGCAGCTCTCCATTGGACCAGTCCTGGCAGATCTTCTGAAAATCACTTTTTTCCCCAGTTCTTTGCTTCCTGGGACTTGAAATATTTGGCTTCTTTCAAGGGCTGCCTTTTCCTTCCCTTGCAGATTACAAGTCCCTAGCTCCTTTTCCATTAGTTTTACACTGTTTTTCCCACTCTTGGTTTCATTTTGGCCTTGAACAAGAGTCCCGTTGATGAACAGATGGTCAAGAGTTACTTCACGCTCCATGGCCACAAACTTGCACACGTCTCGGAAATAATCCATAAGAGACAGACAAAAATCTTGCACTGGCCCTAGAGAAACAAAAAGCACAACTGTAATGAAGAAAACAGTCCACTTTTCAGCATTGCTTCTGGGTGTTCATAATTGTACTACAGCCAAAATACATCACTTCCCAGTAAGCATGCAGGTCTGAATTCATCCCCTCCAGCTCAAGATGCCTAATTAATAGTGCAGGCACAACAGACACCTTTACGCACAAGACCTGAATCACTTTTAGAGGTAGCTATGTATTTGATATAAATAGTATAAATATAAATATGTATCTCATAAATACCTACCTGAGGAGCAGGTTGCACTCCTCAGGTGGGTAACAGAACAATGCCTGCAGGTGGGCAAGTTGGACACCTTAAAACCAGGAACAGTGCTCAGGGCACTTCACAAACTGCCACATTACGTTTTCTACAACAAGCAGCTTTCTGTATATAGAATAAACACAGCAAAATTATCCATAAATAGCCAAAGTTAAGAGATCTAAACTCACTTGGTCTCTTGAATGGTTCTTCAGAAGAACCTATAGGATCTTGCACGTCTTTGAAAACTTCTAAGTCTGAAGAAACACAAGAATATACTTGAGGAAGATGTCATTGACTCAGCTATCCTGATTTTAACAGTGTGTCTAATACAAATGTTCAAGTTCACTGCAATACAAATCACGTGCAGGCTACAGGAAGAAAATTTTGCCTATTTTACAAGACAGATGAAAAAAGTTCACAAATAAAAGTACGCATCAGGTGACACCAACTGCTGTCATCAGTATGGCTGATGGCTGTTCCAATGGCCGTGTGAAACAGAAAACCTATCATAAAAGAGTGACATCCACTGTGCTTTTCAAATGTCAGTCTGTTGCCTAAATTCTTGTTCACATGCCAGACCTTTTTATGTCACCAAAAGTGATGGCTTCTTTTTCTTATTCTGCACTTTGTAATGAGGTGTTAAGTCAGAGAGTCACAAATAAGTGACACCTAAACTGGTGTACTGTACTGGTAATAGAATTTGTCCATTACCCTTCATTACAAAATATTGTTATTGTCTAATTTTTTTCTTTTTGCCCCCCGCCCTTTATTTTTTTTCCCAACTATTGCAGTCCTTTACACTCAGTCGGATGAGCAAGGTCTGTCATATACAGAGAAATAAGATTTTTTCCAGGGAACATGTAGTTTCTACAAACAGATTATTACTGAGAAGGTATCAGTTTTGGTAGGAAAGGTTTTGTGTGTCCAGGACAGAATTTAAATTGATAGAGATGTTATAAACCCAACAGCACCATTAGTCTGGTGATTATCTCACTCAGCAGAGATGGGGAAAAAAATCACAGATCCATGTCCCTAGCTCTACACAATATACCATTTAAAAATATTTTTCCAAACCTAGGAGTCGTATTTGCCTATTAGTCTTCACTTTAGGAAAACGCTACTTTGGGTGGCATTAGCCACTAGAGGGCAATAATACACTTGTACTAAATGGCAAAACAGTGATAGCAACTAACCACCCACTGCGCTCAATCTGCCGGGTGTAACAGCTCTCCGGACGAAGAGGGCCCAAGGAACATGTGCCACCAGGGCTGGGATGTTACAGTCTGACCAAAACTCCGATTTCTTTATAAACTTTCTGTATACGAGGTATATATCTGTATTTTTTAAAGTTACTGTATTTTTCAAGTTACATAGGAAAGAGGTCATTTGGGGTTTGGGGCCTCTCTATGAGCTGACTGCAGTCTAGCTCCTAGCACAGACTCCTTAAGCCTCTGCACCAGCTTCTCATTCAGATGATGCTTGAACACACTGGGTTATTTTTTTGTAATTGTTTTAACCAGATAAAACTTGAGAAAATGGCTTTTAAAAGAAATGCAGTGGATTGATTGCCAGGCACCTCCTAGAACCAGCAACTCTGCAATCTCATCTGCCTCATATTTTGGACTAGCCTCAGCAGCCAGTGATCTATACAGAGAAGGAAAGGCCACTATTTTTTATTCTCCTGAAGAACGTCAACATGAGTAAAGCCTTCAAGAACCAGCAATATCCTTCTCCCACCCCAAGAATTCCATGTACAAGACATCTTACACTTACCACATAAACTGACTGGAAAACTCGAGGGGATCAATGCTTCAGTGGAAGAAGTTGACACTGGAAATGAAACAAGTAAATGACAGTTCATGGGCAGTTACTTTTTTGGCAGCACTTATTTTCCAGTACTTTCTGCCTATTTATGTAAGTAAAAGATCATGGTTCCCACCTGGATATATTATAACATTTGATGTGCCGTTTTCAATAACGAAATTAATTATCTGCTGAGCAGGAGCTGCATACTCTATATTCTCTTGGCTCCCTTTCGTGCTGATGGGCAGATACTCTGGAATCAAACAGAATGGAGTGCAGAACAATTATTCACCTGTTTCTAAAACCTCCTGGCTTCTAAAAGGAGGCTACTAAGGCTCTCCTGCAGCTTCTGGGCAAATCTGGGGAGTTTGTGAACCACAATTCATGGAGTTATGTAATAGCCACAAAAGCCATTAAAAAAACATCCTAAAAGGTTCAATGAATAAAAGTACAAATGATTACCCAGCTCTTCATGACCACTAGTTGTTGACAGATTAAATAATGTCTATCAACATGAAACAAAGGAAATGCCCAGAGCACAGATCCAGAAGATAAAAAGCGTATAAATACTGCAGTCGGAGTGAACTTTACCATTCTTTGACATCTTTCACACACAACTGCACATCACAGGGCTCATACAGCAGCTAGGAAGCACCTGCAAACAGACTCACACCAGAAAGTTTTTTGATGATGCAGTGCTTGCAACTCAATCAGCCGTAGCCCGGAATTCCTGCAGCACTGACAATTTCTTCTGCTATGTGGTCAGTTCCAACATGCAGGTACTGATAAGAGGTCAGAGATGTTGCATTATCACTTAGACTGAGGTGCATGATAGGGAGAATGTGATTCTGCAGTTATTTTTACTCTCCTCAAGCATTTATACATGAAAATTCAGCATTACACTATTTTATCAAATCAGAGAGCAAACTTTCCCTAGAAGGCAAGGCTACAATAGATAGTAGAGAAAGAGATGTTGAAACACAAGACAATCAACATTAGTGATTATTTCCTATCCATCCAATAACTCACCAATTTTCTTGTATTTGGGTTCTGAAACATCAGAGCAACTCTCTGCAGAGCCTAAGGCAGCTGATGGAAAGAAAGATGATCATAAGTGATGCAAATTGAGCCCAGTTTGGTAGATTTAACTTTCCACTGTGGAAAGTTTTCACTTTTTGAAGTAGAAGGGAGAGTTTCAAGCCAGCTATTTCAGATCTGGACAATTCATATTTACTAAAAATGAACGTGAATAGCCTCATATTATTTTACTATGACTGTGAACTTTCAGCAAGGCTGCAGATTTTTGTGACAGTAATCAAAAGCTTTTGGAGTCCCTGCTGTTAATCATCTAGCCAGGACTTGCTAAGTTAGAGATACACTGAGAACAAAGTTAACGTTGTCATAAGGATGACAAAAAAGTGAAGAAATATAATATGCTTATAGCATCATATAACACAATGACAGACTGAAAACAGTAAAGGATATGCCTGGGGAAAGTTGTAGTCCCTTCCAGCCCACAAAGGATGAGCAAAGTCACCACTGATTTAGACGTGCAGGACTCTTCTAGAGTCAGAGGGGGCACATCTGTTTATATCATGAAGAACTACATGAAAGACCTATTGGGGCTGCTTAAAAAAAAAAACAAAGAACTTAATGCACATTTAGAAGCCAAGCCTTACTTACTTCGTTTGTGACTTTTCTGCATCTTCACATCAGTAAATTTCTCAGTGTTTTCAACAGCCAGTTGAGGTTCATCCCAGGTAAGGTTCCCTGCTAAAAAGCATTAAATATTGCCAAATGGCAACCATTATTCACCTAGAAAAATTACAGGGAGAAGCAAAAGCAAGAGACACTTGCAGGCAGCAGTGATGAAACATACTTCAAAAGAAAGATGAAAAACAGAAAACATACTGTAAAACATATATTGAAATCTATAATTATGCATTAGGTGCAAAACTCCCGAACTCCCAATATACCCGGGAGCGCTGAAAAGCATAGAAAGGCATGTAAACTTGTAACCAGAATTAATTATCTCATTTAAGGACCGAACCTTGGTCAAGTCCAAGATACATTTTTCATGCATGAAACAGAACACAGAAACTCTGTGAATCTTTCTCTATCTAAGGATTTCACAGCAGCCACTTATTCATATGTATATATGTTGAAATAATAACACTTGCTTATGTATCAATAGAAAAAAACAATACTTTAAAATCAATATATAATCATACATAGCACAAAGTATAAAGCAATTATCTCTGGGAAAGCACTGCAATGAAGAAATAATTAACTACGTGGCTATTACACCATTGCAGCATTGGTCAGGGAGTGAAATAAAGTGAAATAAAATCCGACTTGCTTCCTCAGGCAGCCCTGGGTATCCAGGATGAAATAATCCTGGATGAACTATGTCTAAAGCATGCTAAATCCTCTGGATGGGCCAGGCTTAATGGACATATGCACATCAACTGCATCACACGCTCAGAAAGTCTGACATATACTGCATATCCTGCCCTGGACAGTTGGGCTGTGCATACCTGATGGGGTGAGGTGAACAGCACCTTGGTCAGAAACACAACTACCACCTCTGAGCCAGCAAAATCCTCCAAATTTGCCTGAACCAAGCTCCCAGGCGGAAAAAGGAGCTACCAGATTTACAGAAACCTTACTAGCATTCAAATGAAGCACAGAGCAGATGTTAGCCAGATCGCTGTCAAGGACACAACTAATTTTTGCCATATAAGTCTTACCAAAAGTGTCTTCCTGCTGGTTCTCCTGATGATCTTTGAACACATATTCTATTAATCCAGCTATAAAGAATAGAAATAGGAACATATAGTAATTGCATGATAAATTGCACAGTAGAAACTATTCCAAGTTTATTCTCATTAACAGAATTCTGTAATCTCAGGGAAATTGAGGAGTTAAAGAATGCTTTTTTCTTGTAAAACCTATAATTGTTGTTCAGGAAACAAAGAACTAGAAAGGAGAAGTTGAGACAGGAAGTGTTAAGCAGAAAGTGACATTAATAGAGAGATTTTCCCCCTGACAACCACAAAACGTTGTTTACCCGTTTCCCCACAGTGAGATGCACAGGTTGGGTAGCATGGTGAGAGTTAAGACTGATGAGGGACAGGACACTTTGAGCAGACACCATCACTTTAGAGTGAAAACAGAGTTTGAAGAAGTGAGCAGAAAAGTAATGATCATGTTGAGATGCCAATACCTTAAAAAAACAAAACCCCAAAACCAAAAGAGCTTTCATACCTATTCTAGCATAAGCTTCTCTTGGGTTGGAACAGATATACAACTCATCCCCATTTTCATCATTTTCCATTGTACAAAGGAAATCCATGTTATTGAACTGATCATAGTTGCTAGTATCATTTTCAGGATCTAGAATTAAGGAGTGAAAATTGGCTCAATGAATACCATAGCTAAGGGAGAAAAAAAAATGGAAAAAAAGAAAGCAGGACATCCTGAAAAGGCAGGATTATCACTTCAGCATATGGCTTTTGCTCTGCATCAGACATTGGCTAGCTAGGAACTGAACTGAAGGTAAATTACAGTAATCCAGATATCCAAGTCACCTTTTGCCACGGTCTGAGGCTTTCATGACTCGCAGTAAACCAGGCAATTCCAGCGCCTGTTCCCAACTCTGATGCCTGCTGCCATGGTTTGGCCTCTCCCCAGGAAAGCAAAGCCAGGGAATGGCTCCAGCTCACTAACTCTTACCTACGACAGAGGGTCTGTTCTGCAAATTAACCCCCACGCTTTCACACAGACTCAGGAGCAGCAAGCTTAAGAGCCAGGGCCAAGCTCCTCACTCTGTTGTCAGGACTGATATGTAAAATACCACTTTTCTACCCTGCCCTTCTGCTTTCTCTTCCATCACAAAATTATGAAATTGCTGGCCCATGCCCACAAAAGCTGTAAAACAGCATCAGGTCCACTGTGCTGGAGCCTTGGGAGCTCAGAAGGAAGCAAGTGCCAGTTTGTTTGCTTACAGTTGCTTGGCTTCCTCACAAACTCCTGTTTTGCAAAACTTTTGTCTTGAAACTATGAAAGGGCTGAACGTCATGCTTGGCCAGCCTAGGATAGGAACATTTGCAAAGATGAGTTACAGGAATGACATGTGAAACAAAGACACTGCACATCACCTCACAAATTAACGGGCAATATGTACAACATGTTTCACTACACCTGCTTGGTAGAACACTGTAAATATGCACTCAGTTTTAAGTAGTTGAGTCAGCGGGAACCAAGCACTGTTTTATATCTAGATAGACGCAAACAAAGTGTACTCCACAGTACAAGAGGGATGTGGAGCTGCTGGAGAGAGTCCAGCGCAGGGCTACAAGGATGATCAGGGGCCTGGAACATCTGCCCTATGAGGAGAGGCTGAGTGAGCTGGGCCTGTTCAGCCTGGAGAAGAGAAGGCTGAGAGGGGATCTAATCAGTGTATATAAATACCTCAAGGGAGGGAGTGCAGAGGACGGGGATGGTCTCTTTTCAGTGGTGGCCACTGATAGGACTAGAGGAAATGGCCGGAAACTGAAACATCAAAAATTCCATAGGAACTTAAGGAAAAATTTCTTAACAGTGAGGGTTAACAAGCCTTGAGTTGATTTATATTACTGAGTTACTTAAATTTATGGAGTCAGATGCAGCTTGTGATGAGACTTGTCTAAAGTAAGCAAGAATCTAGTTTTCACTCGAGTCACAAGGGAAAGGGGATACTACACTGATGACATGGGCCAAAGTATCTGGCAAACGTGGAAGAAACTGCAATTCCTGTAAACTCATCAGGTTGCAAAAAGCACAAGCACAGATGCAAAAAGACACTGGGGAACGAGAAGACTGCAGTGAAGTGTATGCAAGAAGTAGCCCACGCTGTTTTGCCATGACAATTTCTTCTCTGGAGAAGCATCTTTGGGTTGGAATGGCATATCCCAAACTACTGAGTCTTGGGGAGCATTAGGAGACTTCCCCTTGGCACAAGGAAAACCGCAAAAGGTAGAACACTTATTCTAGACAGTTCTTCCCCAAAATTGCTTAACAAGCCTTGAGTTGATTTATATTACTGAGTTACTTAAATTTATGGAGTCAGATGCAGCTTGTGATGAGACTTGTCTAAAGTGAGTGAAAACTAGATTCTTGCTTGAGTCACAAGGGAAAGGGGATACTACACTGATGACACGGGCCAAAGTATCTGGCAAACGTGGAAGAAACTGCAATTCCTGTAAACTCATCAGGTTGCAAAAAGCACAAGCACAGATGCGAAAAGACACTGGGGAATGAGAAGACTGCAGTGAAGTGGATGCAAGAAGTAGCCCACACTGTTCTGCCATGACAATTTCTTTTCTGGAGAAGCATCTTTGGGTTGGAATGGCATATCCCAAACTACTGAGTCTTGGGGAGCATTAGGAGACTTCCCCTTGGCACAAGGAAAACCGCAAAAGGTAGAACACTTATTCTAGACAGTTCTTCCCCAAAACGCCAGTCTGAACGTGTACAGAAGGGCACCGTCACCTTGGGACCTGGCTTCTGGCAGCAGGCCGCTCAGTGACAGGGCAGAAACGCGTCCCTTTCCACGCCGCTTCCTTCCAGAGCCCCCTTCACGGCACGCGACCCCTCCCGACGCCAGGCAGGTGCCGGTGCCGGTGCCGGCCCCTCTCCCGGAGCAGGGCGGCTTCCTGCGCGCCGAGGAGCGGGCGGGCGGCTGCGGCGCTGCTTCCTCCGAAGGCTCCTCTCTTCCTCCACACCACGTCAAACCCTGCTGCCTCCTCCCAGTCATGCCAGCAAGTGCCGGAATAAGCCCTCACATCCTGCCCATTATCCCACATCAGGAATAAAACAATTACTGGCTTCTCAGCGTCCACCGACCTTCGATACGGGCGTAGCACTGGGGTGCTTCACAACCATGAAAAGTTCTGGTTTGGCAAAACTATGTTTTTCCATGAAGGAAAGCTATAACTGGACTCCCAAATACTCTGGCTGTAGTAGGATGCCACTGCTGCCCCAGGGGAGCAGTCTTCATTCCTCCTACATATATGGGGTTACTGCCAGCCTGGCACAGGCCCTCCCCGGCCTTCTGCAGCCAAGGACAGCAGAGCCTGGGGCAGACCTTGTGGAGCCGGTGTGCGCGGTGAAGCCGAGCGGGAACAGATAGCCCACATGCAGGTGAGTCTCCTGCTTCGTGTTGCATGGCCTCGTCACATTACAAAGATTGGAGATTATCGCCTGCTCTGCTATAAATGGAAAGCAGAAGTTGAGAGACTTTCATGAGAACCAAGAATGAGAAATATCAAGATACTGGATTAAACTTTCAATTTGCTGCAATGTTTTGGTTTGCAACTTCCTTTGCTGCATTAACATAACAATCCAGACACAGTCGGGCCTTCTAGAATTGCAGCTTTGCAGCCTTTGTCAGGAACGTGGTTGACGCGTTTCTGTGACTCGGTACCTGGCCTTGGAGGCGGGAGGTGAGTGCGCAGGAGCCCTACTGGAAACACAAGGCAGAGAAATGCACCACTCTCCTCAAGCTCAGGGGGCAATAAACTTGACGAGAGCCCAACAAGCAGACAAGTCTAATGGAAAGACTTAAGTCCTTATGGAAATACTAAGTTTTACTTAAGTCACAGTCATGAGAGCTTTTGTTATTTTAAACCTTTCTTAATAGCAGCTGGGCTTTCCTGCAGCAAATGACTGTGCCACGGGGCAAGTGCTTTGCCCAGGCTTCAGGGTACCGTGTTTTGCTGTGTTTTAACACACCATAAGGCCTGTTGCTACGAAACACATTTACAGCAGCAATTGCTTTCCCAGAAGGGTTCCCCTCTTCTTCTCCCAGCATCGTGCTGCCTGGCTCCATGGAGGGACACGCTCCGTACCACTCAGTACTCTTCCTTGTTGCCTTTTACCTCATTGTTACTGAGCTTACTGTTGACAGAGCCTTATTCCCCCCATCAGAGCCCACCTGCTATGGCAAGACCTGTGCTCAGGACGCGATCTGCTCGTGGTGCTCCCAGCTTTTTAGTCAGTGCCCTTCCAGAGCTCAGCAAAACAGTACGAATGAAAACCATCAGAAACACAGTTAAAAACATACCGGACTTTGGCTTATCGAGACAGAGAATCCAGTTACAGAAACAGTAGATGTTCACATAAATCACAAACAAATTAACAGTTGGACTTTTTCTAAAGTAAGAGGGATCGTTACAGTTATCATGTCACCCCAGTAATTTGATTTAACCATATCTTATATTTTAAGAGATCAACATATCAAAGGCACTGACTAATGGAGTTTGCTACTAAACTAAAATCAAATGGCAGGTAAGATGAGGAAGGTTAATACAAACACAATAATGTAAAGTTTTCTCCAGAAATAAGGTAGATGTTTCTGTGACAACTTGTTAGGGTACTTCGCCAAGCTCTGTTGACATCTGAGCTGGCAGGTGATACAACGGGCTCTCCCAGGAGTATGGAAGGGCAGAGAATGAATGAGCAAAGTTGTTTCAGGAACAGAGGAAAGCCCCTGCAATTTCATTCTCACATCACTTCAGGAAGCTGTGCATAATTCATAGCAACAACTAGTAGTGCCTTGCAAATGACATTTCTTAGCTGCAGAATGGTACGAATGAAAACCATCAGAAACACAGTTAAAAACATACCGGACTTTGGCTTATCGAGACAGAGAATCCAGTTACAGAAACAGTAGATGTTCACATAAATCACAAACAAATTAACAGTTGGACTTTTTCTAAAGTAAGAGGGATCGTTACAGTTATCATGTCACCCCAGTAATTTGATTTAACCATATCTTATATTTTAAGAGATCAACATATCAAAGGCACTGACTAATGGAGTTTGCTACTAAACTAAAATCAAATGGCAGGTAAGATGAGGAAGGTTAATACAAACACAATAATGTAAAGTTTTCTCCAGAAATAAGGTAGATGTTTCTGTGACAACTTGTTAGGGTACTTCGGCAAGCTCTGTTGACATCTGAGCGGGCAGGTGATAAAACGGGCTCTCCCAGGAGCATGGAAGGGCAGAGAATGAACGAGCAAAGTTGTTTCAGGAACAGAGGAAAGCCCCTGCAATTTCATTCTCACATCACTTCAGGAAGCTGTGCATAATTCATAGCAACAACTAGTAGTGCCTTGCAAATGACATTTCTTAGCTGCAGAATGACATAACATTATTGCTTTGTACAGCTCCGTGTCTCCAGGCTGCAGAAGGACAAGGTGATGCGACTGCCATCAGGACAGAGGCTTAAAAAGTTGCAGACACAGAGACTGCTGAGGAAATGCCCTTCTTGAAGTACGGAGTGCAGTGGAACCGTTGGCCTAACAACCCCTTCCACAGGGGTACTTGGCACTAAGCACTTCAATGCCAACAGTTATGACTTTCTAGCTGCCTTTTTCCCCCCCACCCCAACTTTCTATTTCCCTTCTCTCTTCCGCTAATGACGAGGAAGCCCACACCATGCCATAGTTACCACCCTCTTTCTTCTCCCCAAAACACTAACACTCCTTCTGCTCCACAGGTTCCTACTAGCTTTTCATTTCTGAGAAGGCCTTCTTATTCTTAAATTCTAAATAACGGTAACCAATTTATATTTAGCTTTGAAAGCTGCAGTTTCTCTTTCAGCTCTAAAAAGGCTAGTGCATCTGAATGCCGAATTCCAGTTAAACTACTCGATTTCATTCAAGACACTTTTCCCTAC